GGGGCTTTGGGGTAAGAGGTGGAGAATAGAGTGGGGCCTTGGGGGAGATGGGACAGTGGAAGGGGCCTTGTGGAAAGAGGTGGGGCAGGGTCTTGTGGAATAGGCAGCGCAGGTCGCGGGGCCTCAGAGATCCAGTTAACAGCAATTAGAAAGGTGGCAACCCTATGGGAGAATGAGTTGTACACAAAAAGATACCTTAGTTTGTCATGCAGACAGCGTACAGCAAGGACAGGAAAGGATGTAATGTCACTTTAACTGTCCAGTAAGTGATTGCGGGAAGGGGGCCCAGCACCATTTCACCAGCCAGCTCTGCACAGAACTTGGTCTGAGAGCCAGAGCACCAGGAGAAAACTTTAGGCCCCTGTACGAGTAAAGAGCCTGAGCAGCCTGTCCCGGATCTGTTTGGTCCTCACCCCATAGATGATGGGGTTTAGCATGGGGCCATCAAGAAGTACACATTGGCAATGAGAACGTGGAAATGCAGGGGCATATTTTGGGCAAATCTGTACATGAGGGAGATGAAGATACTTGGGATGTAAAAGGCTGAAATGAGAAAAAGGTGGGAGCTGCAGGTCCCCAAAGTCTTGAGCCGGGCGTCTTTTGTGGGGAGGATGAAGATGGCCCTGAGGATCTGGGTGTAGGACACCCCGATAAAAATCCCATCCAGACCCATCACACAGTATTGCACAAAGAGGCCGTAGTAACTACTAACATGGGTGTCGGTGCAGGCCAGGTTCACCATAACTATGTGTGCGCATAACGGCTGGGGGATGACGTTGGTTCTGCAATAGGGCAATTGCTTCACTAGGAAGGGAAAGGGCAGTATAATTATGCCGCCACGCAGCACCACGGCCAGGCCGATCTTGACCACCAGGGGGTTTGTCAGGATGGTGGAATGTCTCAGGGGATGGCAGATGGCCACGTAACGATCTAAAGCCATGGCTACGAGGATTCCAGACTCCATCACAGAGAAGATGAGAATGAAGTACATCTGGGTGAGGCAAGCACTGAAATCTATCTCCCTGGAATTGAACCAGAAGACTGCCAGCATTTTGGGCAGGGTGGATGTATACACGACCAGGTCATTGACAGCCAGCATGCAGAGGAAATAGTACATGGGCTCATGGAGGCTTGATTCTATCTTCACAGTGAACAGGATGGAAAAGTTCCCCAAGATGGCTATGACGTACATGGTGCAGAAGGGGATGGAGATCCAGACGTGGGCCACCTCCAGGCCAGGAATGCCCAGCAGGATGAAGGTGGAGGGGTTGGTGAAGTCGGTTGTGTTGGAATCTGACATGGAGTAGGGGAGAAG